GAGGGGGAGGGGGGCAGTATTGAGCATGTCAACTGGTCTCTTGAGGGGGAGGGGGGGCAGTATTTAGCATGTCAACTGGCCTCTTGAGGGGGAGGGGGAGGGCATTTACCGTTGGGCGCCAACCAACTAAATCAATCAAATGTTCTTATAGTTTATTCTTGTGATCCCATCATAATCATAACTCAATTGATCCTATTTGTTTTGTTATTGGATGAGTTGTACTAACCAGCAGGCGTGCAGTAACCTATCAAGTGGCACTAAATCAAGCAGGTTTCTTTGTGGGGGTATACATATTGTCGCTAGGATCAAATTTCTGTTACGGCTCCAAGCCACGGGGTACAGTTTTAAAGTGAAAATAAAAGGTTTTACATGCAGTGATGGGAATGTTCCATACCGTCCAACGAGATACAACAATACATCATTAAAGTCCATCTAAACGATGCGTGTGTGCGAGAGTCATGGAGGCGACGTGAAACCAATGAAACTTCATATTGATAATCACATAAAACGCAGATAAAGCAAGATTTAATCCAATTGTTATGTTTGCATATAGAAGTACTTTAACGCTCATTACGACAACTGAATTCAATTTTGTAACGGTTTTCCTAGTCTATGGTCCTTGAAGACTTTTCAAGTTTTTCAGTTTTTGCTACTTCGAGCCCAAGAGTCTCCTTGACCTCGATATCCACCTGAAAAAGTCGAGTAGCAGTGTTTTTTTCATGATTCAATTACCGTAACGTGATAGCCAAGTGATCTTAGCCAAGATAGACTGATTCTATGCACCCAGAACGTTGCACGTATCGCTTTCCGTGACATAACAGCAGTTTCCGAGAACTATTTCCCTCCACAGCCCCTCCCCCCTGGAACATGAGAATTAACAGGAATAATCTCATTAACAAAACTTAACAGTTACCGGAAGAGATCATTAAAATGTGCAACGATGTAAACACGAACAAATGTTCATATGATCAAGTCGTGATCCCAGCTTGACAACTGTCACAGGTAACTTTACACTTGCTTCCCTTCTCTCCTCTTTCCTCCTCTACTTCTCTTTTCTTTGCATATTTTCTTAACTTTTCTCGATATGTTTTTCTTTTGACATTCCTTCTCGTGGCTTTTCTTGTCTTGCCTTCCTACGCAGCTCTTTGCTTCCGGCCCGTGATATTAATAGAGAGTTTTAGATTTACGTTCACGCCAAACGTGAAACGTCAGTTGACCAGTAAAAAATTCTTTTAAATTACTGAAAAAGAATCGCACAAAAGTCAAAGTAGTAGAAAAACAAAAGAGTATTTGCGCTTGGTGAGAAGGTTTGTAAAAGGCAAAGTAAAATACAGGAAAACGATGAAAATGTGGTCACGTTTGCCGTTTGCGGGGAGAAAAAAAAGTCAATCTAAAACTCTCTATTCTTGGCTATGGACGATCCCTTGGTCGACTACAGAATACGACATCAATATTTTAGTTCTCAAACCAACAAAATGAATCAAGGAATTCCGCATGCATCAATGAAGGTGCTCTCAGTGTGACAGAAGACACGTAATCTGACTGTTTTGTCATGGGTGGGGAGGGAGGGCGTTGTCTTGCTCCTGCTTATTCTTTTGACCCTGTCTGTAACGATTCCTAGTGTACCCCCCCCCCCCAGATGACGCAAGTAAGCGAGTAATCATCTATCTATCCAGTAACCTGAGCTAGCAACCATTACACTACCTGGCTGTGTAACCTTGTGTAATAGCTTGGAGAGATTCCAGCATACAAATATAACTCCCCACGAAGGCTGTCGTTGTGAAGACATGACAAACTGTTAAATCATCAATAAAGAAGAAGGATCGAAGGAAAACTCACTATTGAGACGTGGCTTCAAAAACCGAACAGTAAATGGTAAGTACATGAGTATATCTATCGGTCAGGAAAGCTTTTGAGCAAATACTTTGAAGAACTACAGTATGTTGAGCCAAGATATTTACAACAGCTTCTTCTAGAAGACACTCAAAACCATGAAGGTTTATGCATTTATATATGCAGTGTTTTTCTCGCTGCTCACAGGCTCTGAAAGCTAAGACATGAGTGAACTTCATTTCGCTTATCAATAATAATGATAGAAGATGATATCATGAATGTATGATGCATGCGGCTCGATAACTCGTATCCCTCTTGTCATTTCCGAAAAATCAAAACCAAAAAAATAGAGTTGCGATTATTTTCGTTCTTGTGCAATGAGAGGTTTATTCATTCGTCGTCCTGTTTGCATCGTGCGATCCATTCTATTAAGGAGCTCAGAACACACAGGTAGCCAGACCGAACTAATAGATCCATCTCGACTGACTGATAGCTTGCGTTCAGCCAGTATAATTTCCTCGAAGTTATACTGGCTGAACGCTTGCTACTGACTAACTGATACTAAAACAACTAGAGTCGCAGAAAAAGCAGATACTATTTAAATTTATGCAACCCCCTTCGCTCTCCCTTTGTATTCCAAAGAAAGGATGGATGTACGAAAATCGCTGAAGAATAACAAAACAGCTGATTTAAAATTGACGTGTAGGCCTGTGTAAACGACCAGATGGTCGATAACCAGGCCATTCTAACAGTAGACGGTACCTGTGTAAACGACCAGATGGTCGATAACCAGGCCAT